GAGGAATCTGTACCTTGACCAGGAGGCTGTCGTTCGGGTACGGGTCGGTAGGGTAACAAGGGAACGTGTTCAGTGCAGATCAGTGAGTAAGCACAAGCCCGCCTTGTTTCAGTGCCTATGCTTATGTGCATGATATGTATATGAAAACACTGTGAAGACCTTGTGATGATTTTTGTACATTTCACACCAAATTTTAAATAAAAAAACTGCATAGTTTGTTGCCAAAAGAACAGAATTCCTAACACACATAGTTAGGTCTGTCATTTCACACAAAGTTAAATGGAAGACAGCTTGGTTCTAACCACAGAAAATTATAGAGAGAGCTGGTAGGGAAACTACAACCAGATGAATCCCTTAGTCCTTTAGTGGACTTTAAAAGATCTTCTGGGCTGTCTATAAACAGTCTCACTGAGGTTTATAAGGAGAATACACAGAGTTCCTCAGAAAGTGAACTCTATTCTGTTTCCTGTTGTTTCCACAAGGGAGCTTACACCTTACTTGGTCCAAAAATGTTACTTAACAAAACTTTTTTTTTTTTCACTCAGTTATTCTGAAGTCAAGTGTTATGAATTATTTCTTGTTCTTTAGAGAGACTATATCTTTCCAAAATACATACTAATTATAGTGGGGCACTATGAGTCCTTTAACTCAACAAAGGGATGATGATTTTATAGGAATTACTTTTGAAGGGGTGGGGGTTAACCACAGTCAGTGTATTAAATGATTATTGATTTAATTTGGAATCTGGAAAAGAAAAAATTCAGGTCAGTGATTATCAGTCTTTGTGGGGCCACAGTTCAACAACTTTTAAGCTATATCAAGAGATATATCAACTCTCCTAAATATCTCAAACCAAAATTAATTTCAACTACTTCAAGAACAACTATTTTAAAGCTCTTAAAACTCTTAGGAAGTTTGCAATTTTCAGTCATATATTTAAGCCTCTCAACATCTCTAAGAGGTCAGAACTATTCTTATTCCAATTTTCCTAAGGAAGAAACAGAGAGTGAGATTAAGGGATCTTGACCAACACCACACAGAGAAAAATAGGAGGTCTGAGGTTTAATTCCAGTCAGCCTGACCCAGAGCATACGCTTGATTGCTTTCAATGAAATTCATTTATTTAATGAAGTGTCCACAAGGTCCGTGCTCCTGGGCTAGTACTGGACTCAGTGATGACTTCTAGGTATCTCCAGAATTTGGCTTCCTGGTCATGTGGTCCCTGCCCCAGTGGACTGAATGCATGACTAGCTCAGATCACCACACCATCCTGATCTCATTGTTTATTTTAATAGACATCACAGCTTTATTGAGGTATTATTCACATAGCAAATATTTCAACCATTTAAAGAGTACAATTCAATGGCTTTTAGTATATTCACAGAACTTGTAACCTTCACCATAGTCACTTTTAGAACAATTTTATCACCCTCAGAATAAACCCTGTACACATTAGCAGTTGTTCTCTATTTTCCCATAAACTCACTCATCCCCTCATCCTAGCTCTAGGCAATTACTGATCTTCTTCTTGTCTCTATAGATTTCCCTATTTTGGACATTTCATATAAATGAATCATACAATATGTGGTCTTTTGTGTTTGGCTTCTTTCACTTAGCATATGTTTTCAAGGTTCATCCATGTTGTAGCATGTATGAAGAACTTCATCCCTATTTATATATCTCTAATATATTTATAGGTGCTCTGGTAGCATAGTGCCTAAAGCACTTGACTATTAACCAGAAGGCTGGCGGTTCAAACCCACCAGCCACTCCTCGGAAGGAAGGTTGGGCAATCTACTTCGGTAGTGATACCGCCTCGGAAACCCAAGGAGGGGTCGCTATGAGTTGTGTCCGACTCGATGGCACATAACAACAACAACAACAATATATTTATAGGAGCTCTGGTAGTGTAGTGCCTAAGGCACTTGACTGCTAACCAGAAGGCTGGCTGTTCAAACCCACAAGCCACTCCTCCGAAGGAAGGTTGGGCAATCTACTTCTGGGTGATACCGCCCTGGAAACCCAAGGAGGGGTCACTATGAGTCAGATCTGACTCGACAGCAATGAGTTTGGTTTTGGAATATATTTATTATCCATCCCATTGTATGGATACACTTCCATCCATCACTTGATGCACATTTGGGTTGTTTCTACTTTTTGGCTATTATGTACACAATGCTAGGAACATTGTGTACAAATTTTTGTGTGGACATATGTTCTCAATTCTTTTGAGTGTATAGCTAGGAGTGGAATTTTGGAGTCACGATAACTCTACATTTAACTTATGAGGAATTGGCAGTTTGTTTTTACCTTGTAGATCGGTACTAAGAAACTCTCCTTAGCTTACTGTGTTTGCAAGGGACTCTTTTCTCACTCCAAAGAGGCAGCTTGATGTTAAAAAGCAAGAGCAAATATTAAGTATGTGGTTGGCCACAAATGGCTTTTTCCAGTAACAGAAACCAAATGGAAAGCTTATAGTAACTTTGAGTGATTGCACCCTCTCTTATTACCAAATCTTTCAGTGAGTATATGAAACAAATTTAATAAATGTGGTAATAATAGCAGTTAATTGTTGGATAGTTTGGATATGCCAGGCTGTGTATGATATACTTTACATGTATTTCATCACTTAAGACTAGAACCACTAAAATGTTTTAGAATTCTTACATTGTAAAGGATGGTTTTAAAAAAATGGAAAATAAAAGCCAAAACCAGACAGCTGTACTCTATCTGACTATATGGACCAAAAACAAACAAACAAACATAATGTAAAGAAAAGCTAAAACAAAAGGATGAACTGCCTTAAATGGAAAACTATTTCATTAAAGCTATTATTGTCAGGAGGTAGGAAACAGAGTGAAATACTGCTGCTTTTTCTCCTGCTGTGTACTCATAAGATACTATTTCATGGTTTATAGTTTTTTATAGATACACAGAATTTGTAGCCAAATACAGTTTCATAGAAGCTAGTAAATATTAACAGAAGAGAAATGAGGAACTGTTCTATTTTATTGACTTTTGTGGAAAGTTTTCCTGTTGCAAAATTCCCATCTCTTGCCTAGGATGAAAATTCAGTTTCTTAATATAACCTATTTCAGAGAGTAGTGAATATATACAGTTAAACAAACAACAAAAACTAAGTCCTATACAATATTTTGTTTGTAGTATGTTTTAAAGAAGCAATAAGAAAATTTATATTCATAATAACAAATGTCAAACCTACAAACTCCACTGCTTGGAAAGGCTCATAAGTATAATTACAAGGTAATGACATTTATTATTAAAAATTAATCTATGTAAGGAAATGCACCGGTAGGCTTCTACCTGGGAATAAAACCCAAACAAAATAGTTTGCTTCAGTATATTGGACAAGAAAAAAAATAATGGGTGTCTAATTTGACAGTGCACTGTGTTAATTCTGATTTTGTATGAAATTGGCCATATGTGAATTTTTCATTTGGGTTAAATCTCTGCACACATAACTTGGATAGAATTCAGATGTGTGATAATTTTCAATGAAGTCTAAATTATCCTTAGAATTGAAGGCTGTGGGAAGAATCACTATCCTACATTCTGCTTCAGTCCTTAATATCCAGGTACAACTGCTTGTAGTCATCTTCTTTCTTTGGGAAAGACTAGACTTTTCTATTTAGCAACCAATCCAGGAACTTGATTTCGTTACGCTAACCACATCTTCCTTCTCTGTGTCATACTTGTGTGTTTTTGGTCCTGAAAAGAAGTAAATGTAGCCTAAAAGAGACAAAGTTGAGATTGTGATTACCAGAAATGACTTGCAAGTATATCAGTGACTGAATTTGTGATTGCAAAATTCTACGGAAGTAGAGTGCCCTATCTTCGTTCTGAGGAGTGGCTGGTGGGTTTGAACTGCCAGCCTTCTGGTTAGTAGTCAAATGATTTAGGCACTATGCCACCAGAGCTCCTTCTCAAGGTAATACCAGGGGCAATTGGGAATTTGTCAGATTCCAGTTTGCTAGTCCTCTGCTTGACTTTTGCAGGGCCTTAGAACAAGATACCCCTAATTTCTTTATTCCTTTGCCATCTTTTCTCTTTGTTCCAGCAAGGGGATGGCCTTCCCTTTGAGGCACCCATACATGTCATGCTCAATTATGCTTCGTACTTCTGATTGAGCTGTTTCCTTCCAGGAATCCACCCCCATCGTTCCTTTCCCTAATCTCCAGCTGTTCTTCAAAATCCAGCTGAACTCCCACTGTGAAATCTCCAAGTCCTGCTCTGTTTTTTTTTTTTTTTCTCAGATTACCTTTTGCAACTATTGTGAAAACAATACTACATCATTCAAATTTAAATTATAGATTGTCTTGTTCTCTAGTAATTTCATATGTGTTAGATAAAGATGTTGACCATTCCTGGGGAGCAGAGGTAATGTCTGGAACTTTCTTTGCATTTCTGAACAGTGCCCAGCTCTGAGTTAGTACTCAAGAAGGATTTGTTGACTGTCTGATTCAACTAAATTTTTCCAGTACAGTTCAATTCAATTTTCTCAGCTATGTGTTAAAGTTTAGGAGTTGGGGTGATGGAATGGGGAAAGGCACTGCACAAGAATGTCCATTTTCAAACATGAAAAAGGTGACTTTGACTTAGGTGGACTTTATGGTCTAGCTGACAAATTTATGGAATATATACTTAAATATTTTTTCTATTAATAAAGAGAGAACCACATTGGCATACTTTTATAGTGGCTCTTTCTGATAGATAATTTGATTAGCTAAACCTGTAAAGCAATAAGGACTCCTATTTGGAAACCCATTTTCTGTTGTGTTAAAGCAGAGCCCAGAAGTCTTATTAAAATTTCCACAAATAAATAGTTTTTGGTGGGAACACTCACCATTTAATTCCACAGCAGCATCTATTTGGCCATTTACTCCAGAAAATTCTTCTTCAGTATTCTTTGGATAGTCTTTTTCCATTCTCTTTTTCCTTTCATCATAGCTGGAAGAAGTGTTATTTCATAAGTAATATTAATAAGAGGTTTTTATTGGTTATGGATAGTCAGGCATGTTCAGAGCTAATTCATGAGTTAATTTGGAGATTTCACCCTCTCTGTCTTTCTCACATACACACAAACACACAGTTGTTTTTTTTTTTTAATTCCCCAAAAAAGTCAAACTCACTGCCATCGAGTCAGTTCCAACTCATAGCAACGCCTCCTTGGGTTTCCAAGGCAGTATCACTACAGAAGTAGATGCCCAGTATTCCTTCCAAGGAGTGGCTGATGGGTTTGAACTGCCAGCCTTCTGGTTAGCAGTCAAATACCTTAGGTACTATGCCACCAGAGACACTTTGAAATACCAAAACCCGATTATTGACCTCTATCACTACTTTTTTGGGGTCCCTGGGTGGTGCAAATGGTCAACATGCTCAGCTGCTAACCAAAAGAGTGGAAGTTTGAGTCTACCTAGAGGCACCTGAGAAAACAGGCATAGAGATCCATATCAGGAAAACCAGCCTTTGAAAACCCTATGGAGTGTAGTTCTACTCTGACACACATTGGGTCACCATGAGTTAAAATCTACTCTACAACTGGCTGTATCTCTATTCTTCCAGGTACCTGAGATTGTGGAATCGCCAGGATGGGAGTCACTTCTTCGAAAGAGCCTATTCAGAAATTGCCAGATGTATTGCTTGGAACTAGTCATTCTATATATCACAGTAACATATTCCTATAATTCTTTAAGAAAATATTGCCATTCAAAAGAACTTCTACATACATTTTAATGGTTTATTATTTATTGAAACTATTCTCTTTTTTTCGCCATATCTGAATGTCTTGACTCACTAAACAGTTGGAAGCCTTTTGTAAGCAGAAATATGTTAATCATGAGCTTAATTGTTCAGTATTCATGGAGGAGAGGTTGAACAAATAATGAATTAATTAAATAATGAATGTTGAATTAATAAACAAATCTGTAAATGATCAACAGATATGAAGCAAGAAAAATCTAGAATAACTAAGTTTCTACCTTTCAAGTAAATTAATTGTATTAAGTTACTTTTGTTTCCTGGAAAGATTCCATGACTGAATTAACAGTACTTTTTTTCAGTGAAATCTCTGAAGATCAGTAAATACTTGTATGAGTCAGCACAATTGCCGTTTGAAAGCAAAGCAGATGCTCACCTCTTCAGTAAGAACTTCATTTGAAGTGTGGGAAAGCCCATTCTTCATCAGTGCAGAGCTCCCAATAGGAACATTCCAAGGTGGACACCCCACTCCTTTCCCACCAAAAGGTCACACAATTTCTCCTGATGTATGGGCTTCTGGGCAGTTTCTTGGCCCACCTTCTCCTGAAATGTGTCTCTCATGTAGCTATGACTACACAGACTAGAGGACAAATTTTATTTCATGATATAGAGCAGGAATCAAACTGAGAGAAAAGACCATTCAGGCTGAAACTGACTGGATGGCTATACTGCAATGGTTTATGGGGTGCTGGGGGCCGAGGTGGAAGCTAACTTTCCCAAACTCTCTTCTCAGGAGAGCCATTAGAACCTTCCTATCGGCCAAGGGGAAAACCAAGCTAGATGAGTTACCTGAAGTACAAATGAAAGTGGAAATTATTTACTATATTTCATTGTTGTCAAAAGTGCCAGTAAAGAGGATGCGGGGACAGGACACTCATAAACGTTTGTTTATTAGTTGTTGTTAGGTCAAATCCAACTGAGGACAACCCTATGTGTGCCACTCCGGTATACAGGTGCTTGATACATGTAGACAGACGCTCAGGCCAGGCCCAAATCATAAGACTTGTAGTTTATTTTGACCCAAGAACCATTCATTCTGCTTTATTAGTATGAGGTTTAATGAATTTTGTGATTTAATCTGGGATCCTAAGTGACAGACTTGACTGCTAACCAGAAGGCTGGTGGTTCAAACCCACCAGCCACTCCTCGGAAGGAAGGTTGGACAATCTACTTCCATAGTGATACAGCCTCAGAAACACAAGGAGAGGTCGCTATGAGTCGGGGCCGAATCGACGGCACATAACAACAACAAGTGATAGAGAAGTTACCTAATCTTTAAACACAGTTTATCAGGATAATGTTCTGTGGTACTAGGCAAGGTTGAGAAGGGATAAAGAAAGGATAGATAGAACATGTTGGAGATAGTCCAGGGAAATAAATCAGAGGTTTAAGATTGAGACGATCTACCTATGTGTTGAGAATTTTGCCAAGAGGATAAAAGAAAGGGAAATTATATCACAAGATGAAAATCATGGGTATAGATATTTTGACTAACAATAAATTCAATGGCAGTGAGGTTTTTTTTTTTGGTTTTGGGAAAGATCCTTAAATTTGGATTCAGAGAATTTAAGTTATATAGTCTAATTGACCACTTTTTACCTGTATGACCTTGAATTAATCATTTAACCTCTCTGGGATGCAATGCTTTTAACTGTTAAATGGAAATAACATAGTGCCTAAGGCACTTGATTGTTAACCAGAAGGCTGGCAGTTCAAACCCACCAGCCACTCCTTGGAAGGAAGGTTGGGCAATCTACTTCCGTAGTGAAACTGCCTCGGCAACCCAAAGAGGGGTTGCTATGAGTCGGGGCTGACTCGAAGGCACATAACAACAACAACTTTTCAAGAAAGTTTAGAAGGCAAATAGGAAAATGAGAGAATATGAGAAAATACCCAGCATGATTCCTGACATGTAATGAACCATCAATAAATATTGGTTAAATTTGAATATTAATGAAATAAATAAATGTTTATTGAGAATCAGTAATGTACTAGATACTTTTTCTCATCACTGAGGCCTTGTTTGTGAAACCTAAATACCATACTGAAAATGATTAACATATAACTTTGTTTATTTTCTCTATAGGCATGTTATTCATCATTAAATATTGATTAAGGGATGCAGAGATTGAAGAAATCTTGGGAACAGTTAGACTTAGAGTAGCAATAGCATAGTGCTATAGGTATCTGATGTAATATTTCAGACATATTATCTTACTCTCTACCTTTGTAATATAAGGACTTGGAGACTATTTTGGTAAAGGGCCTGCATTTTTACCTTAATATGTATGCTTAGAATTTAGGAATATCAGGTGTTTTGATTGTGATGACATCTATCATATATCAATGGCCTAACAGATTCCATTCTGATTCCTTTGAAGTACAGAATGGGGAGTTGAATCTGCTAAAGGGTGCTTTGAGAATGTGAGAAAGGATGACAAAATGGTGATCTCTTTGATCAAGTATCTAAGACCATGCTTTCAGGAAGTTTCTTTCAGTTGACTTTTCAGTGTGGGTCAAGGAGGGACAATGAAATGGAAATCTGTAATTTCCTCATGAGATTAATAATCTACTTCTAGTCAGGAGATACATGGTTTTCATGGGAGGAGTGGCCTTTATGTCCACTCTAGAGAAGGGCAGGGAGCTGAGAGAGATGGATGAGTGATCAGGAGTGAAGAGAAGGGAGAAGAGCAAGAAGCTGCCGTGTGCCATCTCAAATGGGAGTTAGGAACTAGGACCCCATGCAGAATAAGGCCAAAGACTTTGAGAAGATCCTAGAACAAAGAGTTTATACCATACATCAGTGCTAAAATATTAAGTGGAAAATATCAAGGTAGAATTTATATATTTAATCATATAAAAATGGGCATGAGGGAACTTGGGGGAAGACAGAGGAAAAATTAATAAAATGGTTATCTTGTATGCTGATAATTGGAAGAATTTCTTTGTCTTTCATAATGAGCATTGTAACCTATCCCTGGCTATTTTCTTCCTGAGCAGATTTGTCCTCTCACATGGCCTCATCTACCACCTGATTGTATGATAAATTCCAAATCCATCTCTCCAGGCTGTGTTCTTTTGCGATGAAGACCATATGGCTAACTATCTTCCGTATCTTTCCCTTCTGGGGTCCCATGCCACATCAGACTCCATGTGTACAAAATGGAACTTCTCTTTATTTCTCCAATTCTGCTTTACTTCTTAAGTTCACTCTTTTGGTAGATTGCAAAATCAAAACCTCAATTATTGAAGAAAAGTCCTCCACCTAATCAGTCACCAAAAACTTAATTTTCTCTAATGCCCATCAAATCCACTTCTAGCCCCAAACTAATAAGACAGGATTATTATAATACTTAAGTCTCTCCCTTTCCTAAGAATTCAATGGGTTTTAGTATAGTCACAGAAATGTGCTATCATTACGATAATCAATTTTAGAATGTTTTCTTCACTCCAGAAAGAAACCCTGTACCCTTTAGCCGTTACCCTTTTAATGCCCCTTCTCATTAAGCCCTGTTGTTGTTATTACGTGCTGTCGAGTCAGCCCTGACTCATAGTGACCCCTCCTTGGGTTTCCAAGGCAGTATCACTATGGAAGTAGATTGCCCAACCTTCCTTCCGAGAAGTGGCTGGTGGGTTTGAACTACCAACCTCCTGGTTAGCAATCAAGGCACTATGCTACCAGAGCTCCCCATTAAGCCCTAGGCAACCACTAATCTATTTTCTGTCTTTATGGATTTGACTATTCTAGATATTTCATAAAAATAGAATCATAACTAGTTTTTTTTTTTTCTTAGCATAATGTTTTCAAGATGCATCCATGCTGTGGCATGTATCAGTACTTCATTCCTTTTAATGACTGAATAACATTCTATTGTATGAATATACCACATTTTATTTATCCATTCATTGTTTGATGGACATTTGGGTTATTTCTACATTTTGCTCTTATGAATAATGTTGTTATGAACATTCATGTACATAAATTTATGAAGTTTTTATGTGGACAGATTTTTAAATTATTTTTCAGAATCTTCCTAGGAGTGAATTGCCAGTTAAAATGGTAATTCTGGATTAAATTTTTGACAAACTGATGTACTACTTTCCAAAGTGGCTGCACCAGTTTACGTTTTCAGCAGAAGTGTCTGATGGTTCAGATTTCTCCATAGCATCACCAACATTTGTTAAATATC